CTGGATTACTTGTGCCTAATGCATTTCTACTTCTCCATCTCCCAGGTAGGTGAACCAATAATGATTTTATTTTTCTCATGTACATTAGTTGGCATTCTCTTTCTGTTACTTACAACTAAGAGTTCTGATACAGGCAAAGGAAGAGAATTTGGTTCTCCCAACAGTTTTGAGGAAAAGCTATTAACACTCCCATATTAAGACAGAAAAACTGAGGCACAGAAGGAAAATAACGTGCTGAAGTTCTGCAGCTTGTGTGAGACTGAGGTCTGACAGCAAACCTCCCTCCATAAGCCCAATGTGGTAACAGCAAGCGAGCCTATACCTCTGGAGGTATAACTGCTAGAGGTGGGACTACAATGGGCTCTGAACTGACAAAGGAGTGAATGAAAAGGTCACTAAGCCCTGTAAGCAGGTTGAAAACACACCATGGAACCCTTGGAGATGTCCGATTCTCTACTGTCCACCATCTGTGGGAAATGGCCAAACCAGCATCTCCAGCAGCTAACCAAGCATCTTGGACTCTGGGAAGAGCAAATTTGGTAAAACTCAGGGCAAGGATTGTGTTAGCTCAGTTGGTGACTCTTAACACCCTCTCAATTTCTGTTCCCCAGAGATCACAACTTTGCCACAGAAGCTTTTTCCCCAGTGTTGCCTCCAAAGCTTCACCAAGCAAATGCTTTTACCTTCTACACCCCAGGGGCACCAGGGTAGGAAAGAGTCCAGTACCACACATGATGATATAAATGAACCAAATGGCAGGTGAGGGAGCAGGAGGGACAGGTGGGAAGGTGACCATGGCGAGTGACACAGGTGACATACAGGCTACAGCTCAGGTCCAGCCATAAGCTGGGGCCTGATTTCAGCCAAATGCTGACCTTTTTGGCCCTCTAGCTCCAAGCTCTGCAATAAAGGCTGGACCGGATTATCCTAGTTGGGGGCCTATGCCCAACACATGTTTTCCGTGATCTTTCATCTCCATCCACATCTACCAGTTCAGGAAAGGAAGTGATGGAAGAATCTGGAGTTGTTTTGTGGGAAGTGAGAGGCAAGGTCAGTTTCATCACAGCTAGGCAGGGACTCGTGGTTGCCAGTCAGCTGCAAAGACCCCAGGAAGAGCCTCCAAGGCCCAATCTAACCTGCACAGAAGACCAGTACTCGGTCAAAGTCACCATTGGAAAGCAGGATGCTGGCACTCCACTGTATCCGGAATATTAGTAACCAAGGGTAAACACCAGGAAGGACAATCTTCTCTATTCCCGGACCCTGAGGGATCAGCTGAGACATGCCTAAGAATAGACTTCAGCAGCTGGGCTAAAGCCCAGAGCCTTCAGCCTGATGTTGTCCCCAGGTTATTCTAATTCTAGGCCACTCTGACACATCTAGAGGCCTTTTAATAAAACTCAAACATATAAAGTGTACTTAGTGGTCAGACATCCAGATTACAACTCTTCACATCCATAAGAGACACACTCAGGGGGCAGACTTAATGAATGCCAAAACCCCACTGAAGCAAGTCCTGCCCCATAAGGGTGTCTCCATTACAGAAGTTCTCCTACTGTAGACACAACTGTTCCTCACAGTCAATTGTCCTGGAGGTCAATTCCTCCCAGTGATACCAACAGCAATCAAAGCTTAACTACAATAAGACTGTGCACACAGCCCACAAAAGGGTGCACCAAGAGTGTCCACCTCAGGTAATTAGAGAGACTGAGCCACCGGGCCCTATAGGACACATAGCACACAAAGCCACTCTATCAACAAAGGAAAATACTCAAAATGCAGAGACAAAGAAACAGGTCACAAATGAAAGAAATGGAGGAAAGCAAACTATTGGATATACAGTTCAAAACCATGGTTATCAGGTTACTCAAGAATCTTTTAGAAACCTCTGAGAAATTTAGTGAGACTCTCAAGGATATGAAAAAGGACCAATTAGAGATTAAGTATACACTGACTGAAATAAAGAATAATATACAAAGATCTAACAGCAGACCAGAGGATCCCAAGAACCAAGTCAAAGATTTGAAATACAAAGAAGCAAAAAACACCCAACCGGAAAAGTGAAAAGAAAAAAGAATCCAAAAATATGAAGATAGCCTCTGGGACAACTTCAAACTTACCAACATCAGAATTATGGGGGTGCCAGAAGAAGAGAGAGAACAAGGCACTGAAAACCTATTTGAAAAAATAATGACAGAAAACGTCCCCTACCTGACGAAAGAAATAGACTTACAAGTCCAGGAAGCGCAGAAAACCCCAAACAAAAGGAATCCAAAGAAGACCACACCAAGACACATCATAATTAAAATGCCAAGGACAAAATATAAAGAGAGAATATTAAAAACAGCAAGAGAAAAATAGTTAGTTACCTACAAGGGAGTAACCATACTGTCAGCTGATTTCTCAACAGAAACTATGCAGGCCAGATGGGAGTGGCAAGAAATATTCAAAGTAATGAATAGCAAGAACCTACAACCAAGATTACTCTACCCAGCAAAGCTATCATTTAGAATTGAAGGTCAGATAAGAAAAAGCTAAAGGAATTCACAGATAAGAAAAAGTTAAAGGAGTTCATCACTGCCAAACCAGTATTATATGAAATACTGAAGGGTATTCTTTAAGAAGAGAAGAAGAAAAAGGCAAAGATAAAAATTATGAACAGCAAAGTGACAACAAATACATATCAAAAAGTGAATCTAAAAATCAAGTGAATAAAAAAGCTGAACGAACATAATAAACTGGTGAATATAATACAATTAGGGACATAGAAAGGGAGTGGACTGACAATTCTCAGGGGGGAAGAGGGTGTGGAAGGTACAGAAGAGACTGGACAAAAATGGATGAGGACGTGGGGGGGGGGGATGGATAAGGGCAGAGGGTGGGGTGGGAACCGGATGGAGGGGAGCTATGGGGGGGAAAAGAGGAACAACTGCAATAATCTGAACAATAAAGATTTATTAAAAATAAAAATAAAAGAATGAATGCCTCAGTCCCCAAGGGGCCTCTGGCTGTTACACTATAACTTTCTTCACCTTAATTCTGAATTTACTGTGTACATGTTTAAGATAAAACTTTAGACTTATAATAAAAAATAAAAAACTCAAACATATAAGACATGGAATTCCCTTTCTTCTGGGGTTGCATCCTTACCCTGGGAGGAACCCAATGGCCCTGAGCCTCCTCCCCACCCTCAAACAGAAAAGGCCATATCACCCACCGGGAATCAGCCTGTGAACCTGTGTGCACTCTCTCAGGAAGATATCTACACATACAAAATTTTGCTTGCAATTTCAGGGTTCAAAGGCCAAAATGACTATTCCTTTTAGAGAAAGAGTGGAAAAGGGAACGAGAGAGAGAGAGAGAGAGAGAGAGAGAGAGAGAGAGAGAGAGAGAGAGATTGATTGATTTGTTGTTCCACTTATTTATGCATTCATTGGTTGCTTCTTATAAATGCCCTGACTAGGGATAGAACCCACAATCTTAGGGAATTGTTCTATCCAACTGAGCTATCTGGACAGAGCAGCCTTTTTTTTTTTTTCTTTCTTTCTTTTTCCTTTACTATTTTTAAATGCTTACTATAAAAATGAAAAGTTTTAATATAGAAAAAAGAATAAACTTATATAACCACCAAAACTATGCACCCAGAAATACCTACTACGAATATTTTGGTGAATATCTTCCAGATTTCTCAATACTTATACCATTTTACCCAAATGAGGCTAACCTACCCACAATGACTTTCTTCTTCTTTTCTTTTCCCTCCCAATTTATTTTATTTTTTTATTTTTTAAATATATTTTATTGATTTCTTAGAGAGAGGAAGAGAGAGGGATAGAAAATTAGAAACATCGATGAGAGAGAAACATCCATCAGCTGCCTCCTGCACACCCTCTACTGGGGATGTGCCCGCAACCAAGGTACATGCCCTTGACCGGAATCGAACCTGGGACCTTTCAGTCTGAAGGCTGACGCTCTATCCACTGAGCCAAACCGGTTTTGGCCCTCCCAATTGATTTTAAAGAGAGGAAGGGGAGCTGGGACCGGTTTGGCTCAGTGGATAGAGCGTCGGCCTGCGGACTGAAAGGTCCCAGGTTCGATTCCGGACAAGGGCATGTACCTTGGTTGCGGGCACGTCCCCAGTAGGGGGTGTGCAAGAGGCAGCTGATCGATGATTCTCTCTCATCAATGTTTCTAACTCTCTATCCCTCTCTCTTCCTTTCTGTGGAAAACCAATAAAATATTTTTTTAAAAAAAATAAAAATAAAATAAAAAATTAAAGAAAGGAAGGGGAGAGAGAGAAAAAGAGAGAGAGGGAGAGAGAGACAGAAAGAGAGAGAGAGAGAGAGAGAGAGAGAGAGAGAGAGAGAGAGAGAGAGAGAGAGAGAGAGAATTGAATATGTGAGAGAGAAACATGGATAGGTTACCTCCCACATATGCCCCAATAGGGGATCCAACCCACAAACTCAGTATGTGCTCTGATGGAGAATTGAACCTGCCACCTTTTAAAAATACATATATTTTTTATTGATTTCAGAGAGGAAAAGAGAGGGAGAGCAAGATAGAAACATCAATGCTGAGAGAGAATCTTTGACTGGGTGACTTCTGCACACCCCTTACTGGGGATAGAGCCCACAACTTGAACATGTACCCTGACTCTGAATCAAACTGCAACCTCCTGGTTCATAGGTTGATGCTCAACCACTGAGCCACACTGGCTGGGCCGAACCCACCACCTTTTGGTGTACAGGACAATATTCCACACAACCGAGTTACCTGGTCAGGGCCACCCTGACTTTCAGTCTCCTTACTGAGCATTTCCTCATGGCAGAACTGAGGTTCACTAGCGCCTTAAATTGTTTTTACAAGCAGAACTGTAGATTAAATATCCAAACACTGCTCTGGAGAAGCCCAAGCCATTTGTACTCCAGGAGACTGTACATTTGAAGGTGCCCTCAGGGTCACTCCCCTTCCAGGGGCCCAGGACTGCAGGACACAGGTACCTCACGGAAGCTGAGCTTGCCGTCAAAGTCCTCATCCACCTCCTTGATCATGCTTTTCAGGCCCAGGTGGGTCTGGGGGGCCCCCAGTTTCTCCATCATCAGCTTCAGCTCCATCAGGTCGATGAAGCCGTCCCGTCCGGCATCATACCTGCAGAGTCAAAGGAAGTACACGGATGAGGCATTGCACAGCCAGGACGAAAGAACACTTGTTACTCTCCCAAGCGTGTGAATCTTTGGCCTCACTCATTGAAAAGCGACTCAAGTGCCTCCTGCTTTGCAACACCTGGACCACAGCATCAGAAGGGACCACCTTCCTCAGGACACCGTTGGGCACTGCATGCTATGATTCCCAGTGGATCTTGTACTACATGTTTGTTTTTAATGATTTATCTCCATAAGTGGACCATAGTTTCCTGACAATGAAAATATTCCTGTTTACCTTTATTCCCCCCATTTCTGTCAATAAACATCAACGGAATCTCCTGATACTGGACAGCAGGCGAGCTGCCGAAAGGTGCCCCATGCACCCACTATCTTCACACAAAGCAACCAGAGACTCCAGTAGCCTCCCCTCGGGTTTCTCTGCCCCTATTTCCACCAACCCCTCCGCTCATCCTTCTGTCTCCTGCTTACGCTTCCTGCCCTTGCACGAGGCTGTGAATCAGGCTTGGCCACTGCACCCTGGCTTTATGCTTTGCCCTCTGGCTCACTCATCTAGTCTCCAGTTCCGAACGGTCACTTTGGTGTGAGTGGCAGCTGAGAGGGATCCCGGCTCTGTCCTCTTGTCTGAGTTTTAACCACATAGCCAGCACCTCTGCTGGTTGTCCCTTGAGGCCCCCATCCCTCTCCCTGGAAACAAACCCAGCCACCCCCACGTGGAGATCCAGCCCTGCCCTCTATTGCAGAATGCCTAGGTCAGTCCAGTAAGGTCTTCTTTAGCCTTCTGTCCTCTGCTTTCTCCTGACCACTCCACCTGCCTTCTCTACACACTGGGCTATTACAGCATTTTCTCACAGACTCCCTAGACTCCTCCCTTCAAGTCCATCTTCTTTTCTGCTGCCTAGAGTTCTCTCTTGCTTCAAAAAACATATCCATGCATAATCGCCAAAAGGTGGAAACAACTCACATATCCACTGACACTTGAGTGGATAAATAAAATGTGGTATATCCATACAATCAATGGGATATGGCGTATGTATACAGTAGAATATTATTTGCAATAAAAAGGAATGAAATTCCGATACATGCTGTGACATGATTGAACCTTGACAACATTATGATAGGGTTGAAATAAACCAGATACAAAAGACAAATACTGCACAACTGCATCTATTTGAGGTATCTAGAATTCATAGAGATAGAAAGTAGAACAGTGGTTAGCAGGGAGTGGGGGAATGAGGAGTTACTGTTCAATGGGCTAGAGCCACTATTTCCAACCAGCGTGCAGTGGCACAGTGGTGTGTCATAAGGACTTTTTAAACATGCAATACCTGATATGTCATCAGGGGCACTGACCTCTTTTCCCTTAAACTGTCAAAGAAAAAATAATGACAACAATCGACACAACAATAACTGTGTAAATGACAGTTATACCTTTATTTTTTTTTTTTTTGTCAGACTGGCCAAAAAATATATATATATTTGTTGGTGTGCCACAAAATTTTAGTAATGAGTTTATGTGTGCCATGAGATAAAAAAGGTTGAAAATCTCTGGGCTAGATTTGAAAAAGTTTCTGGAGATGGATAGTGATGATGGTTACAGGAGAATGTGAATGTACACTTAATGGTTAAGATGGTAAATTTGTTTTTGTTTTTTTTTTTTTAAATTAAAGAAATAAAAAAAATATATGGTTTCTTCATTCTCTATCTCACCCTTCCCCCAACCTAACAACAAAAACCCACCATTGTTGAAAACCACATCACCACCCACCAGGAATTACAGCCTGTAGGCAACCAGAAATCTACTCTGTGGGCTGGAGGTATTCCGAGGCCCACGGGGTTTGGCTGGACATGAGGCCTGTACTGCTCGACATGACCCAGCCACAGTGGCTGACTCATGCCAGTCTTCCCACCCGGAACACACCACCCACCCAGAGCACACCACCACCCCCTCCGGACTCTCTAGGTAGCCTTTCTATACCCCAGAGCTCTGGGAGCTGCCCCTTCTCTCCTCTGATCTCCAACAGCACCCATTGTCTGTCCCCCTCGGGAATTCGCTGACGCAACCTCCTTCTGCTCGGCACCTTCCAACTCAAGCAGCTCTGTGCTCTCACTGAGCACTGCCTCCTTGCCTGGGAGAATCACAGTACGAGTGCTACTGGGTGCAGGCAAGACCCCTGGATCTGCTGGTGACACCAAGGACTCTTTTTTTAAAAATATATATTTTATTGATTTTTTACAGAGAGGAAAAGAGAGTGAGAGAGCTAGAAACGTTGATGAGAGAGAAACATCGACCAGCTGCCTCTTGCACACCCCCTACTGGGGATGTGCCCGTAACCAATGTACATGCCCTTGACCGGAATCGAACCTGGGACCCTTCAGTCTGCAGACTGACGCTCTACCACTGAGCCAAACCAGCTTCGGAGACACCAAGGACTCTTAAGGACAAAACAGGTGTCTAGGTCTGAAAGGAGCAAGGTTCTTCTGGGTTTCCAGGAAGGGGGCAGCATATATGAATCTCAGATGGACCAGTCCAGGATCTAGTATAACCAAAGGATGGTTTGTGAGCCCTTTAAAAAGGAAGCAGTGATTGCCATCAGTTTAATAAATATAATTCAGGGGTGGGCCTTATTTACTCAGTTTTCTTTTTAAAATAACGGCTTTATCGAGATATAATATACACTGAGTGGCCAGATTATTATGATCTCTGAATGCATAATAATCTGGCCATTCAGTATATACACGTATACATATACATATACATATACACATACACATACATATACACACATATATATATTAGAGGCCCAGTGCATGAATTTGTGCATCGGTGGGGTCCAGCCAGCCTGGCTAGGGGGAGGGGATATGGGAGTTCTGCCTGCTGGTCGAACTCCTGGTTGAGGGGACAATTTGCATATTAGCCTTTTATTATATAAGATATACACTGAGAGGCCAGATTATTATGCATTCAGAGATCATAATAATCTGGCCACTCAGTGTATATTATAAAATTAATTTTTAAGATTTGAATTCACAAGATTGTGCAGCCACTGTCACTATTTTTTAAAAATATATTTTATTGATTTCTTACAGAGAGGAAGAGAGAGGGACAGAGAGTTAGAAACATCGATGAGAGAGAATCATAGACCAGCTGCCTCTTGCACACCCCCTACCGGGGATGTGCCCGCAACCAAGGTACATGCCCTTGACCGGAATCGAACCCGGGACCTTTCAGTCCGCAGGCCGACGCTCTATCCACTGAGCCAAACCAGTTTCGGCCACTGTCACTATTTAACTCCAGAACACTTTCGTCACCCAAAAACAAATCTGTATGGTTATTCTCACTCCTCTCTCCCCCATGCCACCCCCTAGCAACTACTAGTTTGTTTTCTGTCTTTATGTATTTGCCTATCAGATAAATGAAATCATCCCATATATGACCTTTTGTATCTGGTTTCTTTCATTTAGCATAATGTTTTCAAGGTGGCATATGTTAATCAGCATTTTATTCCTTTTTATTCATTGCTAAATAATGTCCTATTGTATAAATATACCACATTTTACTTATCCATTCATCAGTTGATAGACATTTGAGTTGTTTTCACTTTTGATTGTTATGAACAATGCTGCTACCACACTCACGTACAAATTTTTGTGCAGACATACATTTTCATTTCCCTTTGGTATATATCCAAGAGTGGAATTGCTGAGACACATGTTCATGTGCTTTTGAAACAAGATTGTCAAGCTAGTCCCTCAGAAAACCACTGCTAACCCGTTATCTCTGCCAGGGTGAGCAAGGCCCCTCTAATAGGCTGCTGGGGGAAAGATAAACAGGTCATAGCTGCCTTTACAATTAGGTGGGTTTGCTATTGGTTGTAGAGCAACCTAGAAAGGTGCCAACTACCAAATTTGCTGGTGACACAAGTTGGGGCAGAAGCGAGGCCCAAAAGATCTCAGCAAACTGTGATGTCCAGGGTAAAACAGAGCAAGGAGAGCACACATTATCTAGCAACCCCACTTCTGGGTGTACACCCAACAGTACTGAAAGCAGGGACTCGGCCCGGCCATCATGGCTCAGTGGTTGAGCATCGACCTATGAACCAAGAGGTCAAGATTCAATTCCCGGTCAGGGCACATCCCCGGGCATACAGGAGGCAGCTGATCAATGATTCTCTCTCATCATTAATGTTTCTCTCTCTTTCTCCCTCTCCCTTCCTCTCTGAAATTAGTAAAAATATATTTTAAAAGAGAGCGGGGACTCAAACATGTTCTAGCAGCATTATTCACAATACTCAAAGGTGAAAACAACTCAAATGCCCAACGATGGATGACTAAATAAACAAAATGTGGTGTGTACTTACAATGGAATATTATTCAGTTTTAAAAAGGAAAGAGCCCAGCCGGTGTGGCTCAGTTGGTTGAGCATCAACCCATGAACCAGGAGGTCATTGGTTCGATTCCTGGTCAGGGCACATGCCTAGGTTGCAGGCTCAATCCTCAGTAAGGGGCATGCAGGAGGCAGTCAATCGATGTATCTCTCTCACTGATGTTTTTTTTCTCTCTATCCCTCTCCTTTACTCTAAACATATAATAATATGGTTTTGTTTTGTTTTGTTTTTTTAAAAGAAAGGAAATTCTGGCAGATGCTACAACATGGACAAATACTGTATGATTCCACTGATATGAGGTACCTAGAATAGTCAGACTCACAGAAAGTAGAATGGGGGTGGGAATGAATGAGGTGCTCTTATTTCCTTGTTTTTGCTAACAGAGTTTCAGTTTTACAAGATGAAAGGAATTGTGGAGTTGGATGATGGTGATGGTTGCCCAACAATGTGAATACACATCATGCCACTGGAACTGTGCACTTAATAATGGGTAAAGTAGTAAAATGTATACCTTATCACAACTTTTTTTAAAGGCAAGATCGCAAAACTAAGTCCTCCACACCCACTTCTCAAGTGCAGGTCTCGGAGGAAAGGGCTC